TTTGTATGAGTGACTATGTGTTGCTGATGCGGTGTTACTACCGTGACGGCGCTTTGTTGTGCCATCATCGTCGCCGACGTTGCTGCGTTGTTTTGCTCTTTTGTTGTTGTTGTTGTTGTTGTCGTCTGTGTCGTAATTCTCTTCGTCTGGTACTGCTGTAGCCGTTCCCGTTGCTGCAGACGCTAGTGGCGTGACGCTTCGTTCGTCCATTCGCTTCCTTCATTCTATCGTCATCATTATCTGCCACAAACAACAGCAGCAGCGCCATCAACCTCAACAGTCTGATTGAAGTCGCTGCGATGGAAGCAGTGACTGCTGTAGCAGCCGTCGTCCTTGCCTCCGCTATACATATATCCATATCTGTGTGTTCTGCGACGCGGACGTTTGCCTGACTGGACTCAACTCACTGACGTATTCGACGGGAGTGCGAGCGCCGTTGCTGTTCCTGCTTGAGCTGCCAGGGCTCGCCGTTTGACAACGACAACACCTGCCATCCAGCCAAGCAATCAGTCAGTCACTCATTGAGTTAATCGCCCAGTGGAGTCGCTACATTTCTACTAGTAGCTACATTTGATCAGATGGTTAGTCTTGTTTCTCGTGCTGCAGCTGCTACTTTTCCTGGCCGTCCGTCCGTCCGTCTGCCTGCCTCGTAGACCAACAACTACCAGTTGGTGGCAGCGAAGGCGCGCGCGGCCACGAAGCCGCTAAAGCAGGCGAAGCTGCGCAGTCGCCGAACCAAATGAAGTGGCGAAGTCGCCGAACCAGACCAGATCAGACCGGGGCCCGTGCTTCAAGCCAAACTGCGCTACCGTACTAATGCTCTTGGCGCTTGCTGATGACGCTGCACACCGCAGGAGTCATCGAAACCGCGGACAAGACAGCAACGGACAGACGAGAATCAGAATTGTGCCCTGCTGCTACCACCTGCACCAGTATCAACGTATCATGATTTGCCGAGCTCGAAGCACGGTGCGCTTCGATTATATATAGTACTGTATATTGGTACTATTAACTATGGTCAGAGCTGTGCTTCACCGCCGTACGGTGTTATCGACAGTGTAACTACGCTGTAATGCTGCGCGCAGCCCTCAGTTGCCTCCCCATTGTCCCACAGCGACCGGATAATAGACTTCATTTCCTGCTCTATAGGAACGATATTAGAGGCAAAACGTCTCTTAACAAGTTAGAAAAATAGGAGCTCTTGGTTCGGCCGACCCTTCGCTCTGCTGGGCGACTCACAGACGAACTATCGTCTGACGCTGTACTTTTGCTACGGCCACCGTTCAACCAAACGCTATCCACTTCAGCGCTGTCGTCGGCTGCTTTGGTAGCAGGTAGTAGTGACAGTAGAAGCGGGTAACACCGAGGCCCCTGGCCGCCGCGCTCCCTACGCATTATTGACTGCCAGCTTTTCTATTACTGTTGCTGTTCCTCGGCTTGCTCTGTCTGCGTCCAATCCCGAATTTGCTTCTCGCCTTTCCCCCGAAGCTAACCAGGGGCAAACCTGGAGCGGTAGTGCCAAATTCTATACGGCTGAATTGGTGCTGTCTCCACTACGGGTTTGCCATAGCTACTATGTGGTTAGAACTAGGCAGGCGAACCAGCACCGGCGACTATTCTCTCTTCAACCTGCCTATGTTTCTTTCTAGCTATCTACAACGACTCATCTCGTTCCGCTAAGACACAGTAGCCGCGATCAACGCTAACAGAATTATGTCCGTGCCGATACGATATATACAGACGACGGCCGCGACTCGTTGAGCGCGGTTCTTCCGTTGCTGTTGCCGTTGTTTCTGGTCGCTTAATGCTCAATGCTTAACAGCTGCTGCTGCTGTCCCAAAGCTAAACGTCAACCTTATTGTGGAAAAAGTCCTAGTCGCCGCTGCCTCCCAGACGGCGCACTGTCGAATGCCGTCGAACTCCAGTCAAGCGACTAGTGACCGCCCACCGGGCTACACCAATGCCATCGCTCTTTTTCGATATCTGGAGACAGACCATAACGATCGGCGAATAGCAGCGGTGCTCTATGAAGTGGCTGTGTCACGGATGCGTCATGTACAAGTGGACCGAACTGGCTGGACTCAAGGGGCAAACCAAGGCAAACAAAGCTCGACAGCCCCGTCTCTGCCCTACCATCAATAGCGCCGTTGTCACTATACTAAACTAGCCAAATAAACACATCAGGCTGTATAGCCGCTGGTCCTTACTAAGCCTTGTTGTAGCTCAATGATGATCGTGATGTTTGTGACAGACCAACGTGGCCAAAGCTGCCAAAGCCCAGACGTAGAAGCTGTGGTAGGCGGCAGGAACCGCGAAAAGTTGCTCCAGTTGTGTTCAGCTGAGCTTAGCCGAGTCAAATCGAACTGAGCGCCACATTATAAACCAAATAAAAGGAGATATATTAGGGAGTACTGTAGATGCAATGAAGGCTTCGATGATATTTCTACAAGTAAAAATGGCTTCAGGCTGTAACAATAAATCAGGCCTATTTTTGAATTTAAAGGATATAACCTTGTTAGTCGTCCACTTCAGAAACGTTGTTCGAACCTTCCAACGCCATTTTACTTTTGCATCGATAAACTGCAGCAACATCTCTATATAAATATTCTGGTTCTCTCAGTTTCATTCAGTTGAATAGTCTCTTCACATAAATCCGCCCTGAATAAAAGTCTACTGCCTTGTTTTTACCTACACGTGCTCCCACCACCTCTCATACTAAGCGTGTTGGACATTAAGAAATAACACAACAGAAACTTTGCCGTTGAAGTTTCAACGTCTGTTCAATAGGTGTGCCCACGTCGACCAGTCGGCCATATAAACTACTAAACTACGGTGCTTACCAGCGCCGGGCGCGTGTGGGACAAAATGGCTGCCATCAACATTACAAACATGCAAGCGCGCTGTTGCTGGATATGGATCGAATGGTTCGTAAAGTAAAAAAAAAAATACAGCAACTCCAAGTGGCATTGCGGCTGCCGTAGGAAGTCTGATACGATGGTATAGTGCGCTACTACTACTACTACTACTACTACTACTACTACTACTACTACTACTACTACTACTACTACTACTACTACTACTACTACTACTACTACTACTACTACTACTACTACTACTACTACTACTACTACTACTACTACTACTACTACTACTACTACTACTACTACTACTACTACTACTACTACTACTACTACTACTACTACTACTACTACTACTACTACTACTACTACTACTACTACTACTACTACTACTACTAC